AAAAGCTAACACTACGCTGCACTAACACTACGGTTAGTGTAACTGGCCCACCGTTGCTTATGCGCCTTGCTGCAACCTGCTGCACCTGCATGTATACTTTTGTATTGGTCATGCAGGCCAGCCATTCCTTTGTTTGTGTATGTGATGTCCTGTCTATGTATCCTTGGGGGTTGTAAATGATGGGTGTCAGTGTCAGTAATGATGTAGAGTAAGAGAGGGTAGAGCTATGAATAAACTGTAAGTGGCTAGTAAGGGTATTGTGAGCCATAGATTTTGAGTCTGTAGAGATATAGCGTGATACTAAAGAAAAAAATAGAGAAAATAGACTAAGAAAGAGAAAATGAATAAAATTTTTATTTTAGCGATATGGTAAACCATAAAGCATCCGACAACGTCTTTCTTGAAATAGAGAAAAAATGATCATCATTCCTAGATTCCTGTATCCCCTCATGATAGGTGGTTGGTAGGTAAGTTATGAGTCAAAAGTGAAGTGTTGAAATATAATGATTGATTTTTCCAAATCTCTTGCACAGCTAATGGCTAGTATTTTCAAGAAGACAATTGAGGGATTTGGCTCAATGAGACTTGTATTGCAGCTCAATTGATTGATTGATCATCTGTTCACTGTAGTATCAACATTACCTTACATGAGAATTGGGTGGAAATTTAACTCTTATGAATATCTGTCGCTCTGGTTGGGTCTGAGTTCCATATTTCCAACAAGAAAAATCTAATTTGTATTCAATGTGTCATTTTAGGTCTAACACAAGCCCCTTCAAGTTTGTTGCTTTGAAACCTCCTTGATGGAACCTGTGTTGAGTTGGGTTTGAGTTCCAATCTACAGGGCCTGTATTTTCTTCTGGTGGAATCAACAAGCTCAGTAGAGGATCTTGAATCTCAGATATTCTGAAACACCAAGCTATCTTGCTTCACATTGAATTGAATTTTTCCGTCATACTTCACGCACAACTGTTATCCAAGCATTTCCATTTTAGTTTCACAGAGAGATGTTCTGTAGAGTTGTTGCTAAGGCAGATTGAGTTCCATTTTGAGCCTTGCAAGGTTTTGGGTTCCACTAGAGTCATCAGTGTTACCAGGTTGAATGTGGATTGTGGAAAATCATGTATCAAAATAACTGGCCTTGCTGGTATGGGTGTGGCCAGGAGATGTTAAGCCACATTGCAGTATGAAAATGAAATGGGATTTGATGCTTCTCAAGAAAGATCTTTGTTGGATGTTGTTTTATTATTTGTGATTTAATTTCTTTGGGGAAGGTTCATTGAAGAAGATGAGCTCATCCATCTGAATATGAAAAGTCCAACTCAGCAAACTACCATGCATGATTTTTTACAAAATCCCTGCTGTACTAAATTTACAAGAGAATGTAATCTCATGTAAGTTTTGATATTTCAGTTTCTCATTTACTTTGACCTTTTTGATGAGAGAATCAGCAACAATACATCCAAGAGTGTAGTAATTTCAAAGTTCCTCAATCACATAAAATGTGACACAACAACAGGAGGATTAGCCCACAATATGGGATTTTTGTTGGTTGTATGTTGCCAATGGTGGTCCAGTTAAACTAAAATTGGTGTTAGTGAAGTATAGTCCAGCGTATTTGTGCCAGAAAATAGCATAGCATAGTGGAATTCTGCCACGTCTGCACTAACACTACAAGAACAGGCCCAAAATTCACCCGCTCAACTGCACTAACCCACTAATTAATGTCACTTTGACCCTGTAGCAGCCATTAGCAGTCTGTAGTGTAGATAAAACATGCCACATTGCACTAATAGTATATGCTTCTTTGTAAAAAAATACCACTACACTAACAGTTAGTGGCCAAATAGTGTAGCATAAATTAGTGGCCCACTGATGTAATGAATGATTTTGAAGAGAAAATAAGAAGAAAAATTGCAAGGAAATCAATAACAATTCAGGAAATAGAGAATATTATGGATGTCAGCTATGTGTATGCTACACTGGTTTAAATAATATAAAAACCAGGTGCTATCACTGTGCTGAAGGACTATCAAAGAAAAAGATTACTCTTTTTCACCCTTTATATGTGGTCCAAATTCCACAAAGGTTAAGTCCACACTCCTTTAAGCTTATTTTTATCTAATGGACAAAATAACAGGAGATTACAACAATCAATAAATTTATCATAGTTGGATATTTAAAGCAATAATAATGGCTAAGAAGCATCTGGCAAGTACTTGAGCTGATTGGCTACTTGTCAGAGGTGATAGTCTTGCAGCAACTGCTTTATAAGGAATTTTAGTGAGGGATGAAAGGGGAATTTCAAAGTTACACACTAATAATTCCAGTAGTAGAAGTTTGATTGGGATTAGTGTTGAAATCTGGTTCCAATGGCGCGCATACATTCTGTGATGTCATCAGAGTGTGATCTTACACAGCTTTTTGTTTTTCATTGTTCTTCGCTGTTTTCTCTATCTTTTTGTCGGTTGACTATTTCTTCTGTTGACCATCAATCATCCTGTTTTATTTCTACTAGTTGACCATTAAAAACATTAAACAACTTTGATCTCAACCTATCTTATCTCTTATTCTCTTTAACCTTTCTATCTTATCTCCTTGTGTCCTCTTTTTCTGGATTCCTTCCAACTTTGTCGAGGACTTATCCATCTGGACTTAGGCTTATAGGTTCATACCTTTTTCTTTTCTTTACACTCTTAACCGTGTATAAGTTCTAACAGTCGATTCAATTCATCAAAGTCTTCTAACCTAGTCATCAGCAGTATCGTTTCTTTTCTTCTCTTATCTTTCATCCACAACGTGTTTCTCTAAAAGTAGGAGGAGAATATTCACTGTACTTACTAAGTATGCTGGGGTTGAATATGCTGAGGGACAAATCTTAGGCCAGGAATTGCCTCCCTTTATACTCTAGATTCCCCCTTGGGGGCATTCTTAGAATATTCTAGAATATTTATTTAATGTACTACAATAGTAGTTCTCTCATGATGTAATGAGAATATTGTAGTAGATTAAACACCGTGTTATCTATGTCCCCATGACATCATGATCCATTGTTATAGCCAATTACATCATGTGTCTACCTATAATAGAATAATACTGAGGGAAATTACCACACACTTGACAAAGGTGGTAATTTCTACTAGAGATGGTCGGATCGGAGGGTTAGATTAAACACCGTATTATCTATGTCCCCATGACATCATGATCCATTGTTATAGCCAATTACATCATGTGTCTACCTATAATAGGATAATACTGAGGGAAATTACTGTTGAGGTGTCTGATAGTCTGCTACCATGATGTATCACTACATGTCGAACCATGAGCACTACCACCCAACAACCCTGGCAGTCACAAGCGTCTGTAGCCTACACTACAGGCAAACAGGTGTCGCTGCGGCCCGCAGCGTCACCTAACCCAAAGGGGCCCCCCTTGGGTTAGGTGACGTTCCGCGCGGGAGCGTCACCTAATTGCCCGTAGTGCTAGTTGGTAAAGGTAGCACTCTAGTATGTGTCTCAGCTTAGCTGAGGTCGTGAGTTCGACTCTCACCAGACACATCTTCATTTTGTCTGTCTCTACAATTACCACACACTTGACAAAGGTGGTAATTTCTACTAGAGATGGTCGGAGGGTATCCGTCGCGGATACCCGCTATCCTCTGGCGGATACCCGCCAGGGCCAACGGATACCCGTCAGAGGGTGCGGATGGCCCCTTTTTCGCAAATCGTTGGCGGGTATCCGGGTATCCCAAAGGATACCCGCTGCGGCCGACGGATACCCGCCAGCGGGTGCGGGTGCGGATGCGGATGCCTAGATGGCCAGAAAAAGCAGCCGGATATCCGCATCCGCGCGGATATCCGGATGCCAATCGCCCATCTCTAATTTCTACAATTTTGAATTATAGTTACACTTGTAGTTGCAACTATATTTTTGAATATTTCTTTTTATATTCTTTTTTAGATTATTTTATATTTTTATTCCTACTAACCTCACGGCTGTTGAGTTCTGAAAAAGTCCTAGAAGGAGTAGGAATTTGGGGGTGGTTCCAGTGAGCAACCCCCTATAAAATATTATGAAAAGCTCATTTATAAAATAATATCCTAGGTTTCTTATTATTGAAAGGTATTATTACAAGTACTTTATTATTAAGCAGTCTTTTGGATACTCTTGAGCAATGGTGCAACAGAGACGATACGAGACGGTATCAGGCATTTATTTGTATTGTCTCAGAATTTGAATACCCAAAAATACCGGATTTGTGTTGTCTCACTTTCCTGAGACAATACACATTTATCCTCTTTGAAAAGTGAGACAAGTATTCTGTATTGTCTCAGATGACTGATCCCACCAAAACCATATTTGATACACAATATATCTGGCCGTATTGAAGAGAAAAGAAAAAAAACAAAGACAATTTTTTTCATTTGTAAATCCAAATCCAAGACAATAAATTTTTTTCACCAACCAAGAAAATACTGATACCGGTATCAGGCTCAAAATAAAAACAATACAATCCGATACAAATGCATGTCTCATATCTGTTGCAACATTGTCTTGAGGATCTCTAAGGCTGACAATGGAACAGTCCTTTCTGATCTTCTATTGAGACCATGGCATGAGGAAATCCCTGTTTTCAAGCAGGTTTTAGACCTGGCAACTAACATTCCCAGGAATGTCTCCTCATTTCACTCAACATTTGGGAGTTGTTTTGCAAACCCCCTTTATATATTTGCTCACATTTCATCCATGTGATGAAACTATGTCATTCCAGAATATGAAAAGTGCTCAGGTTAATTGGGGACTGGAATGTGGTTAGCAACAGTGCCTTGCAACAGCATTTGTTTGTTGATTAAGGTGAAATTATTTTAATTCAGACTGAGATATATCAACAGAAGTATCAGACCAAGTAATTTCCACAGATGGATGAAAACTGGCAATTTTATTCTCGATGATTTTCTTCAATTTTGTGATGTTACTTTCAATTTCAAATTTTATTATTTCTAATGCACAGATCTGCCAAGGAACTCTCTGTAACCTAAATAAAAATTCTTCATTTTTGGAGAGAATGAACTGGTAGTATGTGTAAATAATTGGAATTCCTTGAATATACTTGGTGATGTTGTTATCCTCCTGATTTGACCAGGCCTTGAGATCTTTTGGAGTCCAAGTGTAGACTTCAGACTTAATTAAGTAATCTCTGATGTTGTTTAATTCTTCAAGAAACTTGAAGCTGGATGACATTGAGTTCATCTTTTCCTTGAAACCCTGTCCATTTTTTAGTTTCAAAATATTTTCAAGGTTATAGTTTTCTTTGATGAATTCTAAAATGCAGAAAGCATTCCTTCTTCTTTCTTCTTTCCAAGGGTACAAAGAGAAATCATCTTGAAATTGCAGCAATAGATTTTTCAATTCATGTTTTACTTGAGAAAAAGTTGCATCATATTTCAATGTCCTTTGTTCTTTAGTTGGTGTGTTTTTCTTCTTGGGAGAGAATTCTTCAAGGGTGTGGAATAATACATCATTTTCTAATGATGAAACAACAGATGAATCAAAAAATTTCACCTTCAAAAATTCCTGGAGAGACAAATATTTGAAATATCTCAGCTCCCTATCCTGCAGAACTGTATACATGGTTGGTTTCCAGTTTCACAAATGAAATTCATAAAAAATATAATATAATTTAAACATCAGTAATAAACATAAATGAAAGAGGCAAGTCAAATCATAATTCTATTCTTACCTTTGAAGAAGGATCTATAATGTGAGAAATTCCAATCTCTGGGAATACCTGTGTTGGAGGGAAAAGTATGTGTAGAATAAACCTGAATTTTATGTTCAAAGTCATAATTTCTGACCATTACATATGCAGCTATTTCCATCACATTCCCAGTTTGATAAAACTCTCTCAGAGCTTTCTCATTCATAACATCTTGGATATACATATAATCAACTGTTTTGAATATGTTGTTTTGAATCTTCAGGGCAATATTGTTTGCTATCTGGTACACACCAAATCTTTGGAAAACTCTTTTGAATGAACCAATTTTGTGTAAAATCTCATTCATTTTTATCAAATGACCTTCCAAGACTTTCTTCTTTATTGTTTCAACCACATCCTGAGGTAATTCTTCTCCTTTGAAGGAGCTTCCTGAGTCAGATTTCCATTTAGGACCCGTTAGTGGAAAATGTTTCTGCAGTGTTTCTGTGTCCAAGTTACACATTTGGAGAGTGATTTTATTTGATTTTGTGTCATTTGATTTGTATATCTTATAAATCATTTCTTCCAAAATTACCAAGTGGAAAGCTTCTAAGATCTTAATACTTCTCAATAAATCTGTTTCAGCTAGCTCTTTGTAGTAAACTAATTTCTGATTATACTCTTTTTTTATCCTGAGCAGGTCTTGCCTCATGGCTATGAAATCTTCCCCTGTTGAGATTCTTTGGCATTGAATGTGATTTTCTGTTGAATCCCAATCAAACAGGAAGGTAGAAAAACAAAATAAATCATTTGTCAATTGAAAGATATCACAAATGTTAACAAACTATTTTGGCTTACTCATTTCTGGGAAGATACCTTCTTGTTTCCTAAACTGACTGACTGTGGCAATGTAATTTTTTATTCTCTCTTCTTTATTTTCAGTTACTGAATATTGAGGATCTCTTATTGAAACCCCTGCTTCTGAGATGATTTGCCTGCCTAGATCACTGCCATAGGCAGTTTTTTCTGTGACTACCATTTGAAAATAAAAAATGAAAATTGGTAATCAGTATGGGCCATCATACCTCAAACAGGTAGGAGAGGAGGGATGAATCAAAGGAAATAACCAAGGGAACCCATGAAGTTGCCTTCTTGTAACAAGCACAAAATGATCAACATTCCTATATATTTGTATCCCAAGCAATAGTTCATTATAGTTTGTTAAGTTATAAAGGGTGAGGTATTAGTTACCGGCGTAATTTTTGATATGGATGTATGTGATTGTTGGATTTTTATCTTTCACAGTTCCAATCTCTTGCACAAATAATGCTGATATTTTTGAGAAGAAAATGGAGGTATTTGGTTTGGGTTGACAAGAAGAGTTTTTTTGCAAGTCAATCAACCACCAGCTAATTACTGAAATATCAAAATTTCCTCACATGTAAATTGTTTGGACTAGTTCATGGGGTCTTGAACTACATCTGCTTGGAAATTCAGTCTATCTGCATGCTCAAGTGGGGATTTGGTTTCATATTTTCAACATGCCAAGGTGGTGTGTGTTTGATATCTAACCCTATTTCTGACACGAGTCCCTCCGACTACCTAGGTGGTTGCTGTGTGACCTTCATGGAGGGACATGCTTTTAGTTTCGTTCAACTTTGGAAGGCAAGTCACAGGGTCTGAACTTTCTACTGAGTGGATTAACATCCTCAGCAGAACTTGTTGACTCTCAAATCTCCTCATGAAACACTACAGCGCATAACATTTTTCACTGTGGTGTATTGACTTTTGCAATCATACTGCAAACAAATCTATTTTAAAAACCTCAACTAAGCCTCTGGAGGTGAAAGTGCAATGTGGGCAGGTCTGGGTGTCGGCCCAGTCTCACCAGAGAGGCTCATATATTGAAATTCTCTGAGTTTGAATGAGCTATTCATGGTTTAGGAGCCTTTTGTGTACTCCCACCTCTGGCTCTGGGCCAGCTACGCTATCTGTAGCATTAGTCTAGCATAGTGTAGCAAAAATACACATTGTAGCATAGTGTTAGCGCAGATGCACAAATCTGCACTAATGCTATGTGTGTGCGCGGTAAAAAAAGGGCCTGCTACGCTGTGCTATAGCACATTTTAGCATTTTTTGGGCCTTTTTTGCCGTTAAAAGCACTGTAGCACAGCTTAGTGACAATAACAGCTTGCTAACACTACAGGTTTGGCATGCTGTTTTGAGGGCTGCTAAGCTAATGTTAGTGGTCTGTTTAGCATAGTAGCCCAGTGTTGCTTTCAAGTTCCATACTTTCTTCTCAAATTTTGTGGTACTTGGCCCATTTTTTTATTTTTCAGACAAAAACCAAGAAAAAACAGAAAAGGCAAAGAGCTTTTTGCATTTTATTTTTTTGGTGAGAGCATGCTTGACTCACAACACTGAAAAAGATACAGTATCTGCCATGTATCTGCCATGTATCACTCCATGTATCTGAACTAGGGGTGAGGATGGGTCGGGTTGACCCATGGGTTGACCCAAACCGGCTGCAATCTGGGTCAGGTCGGGGCGGCATCAGGCAGAATTTAGAGATTTTTTGACCCGGCTGGGTTGACCCAGAAGGTGACCCATGGTGGGTCGGGTCAGACTTTTCCCCAAATGGATTGCCCATGGGTCAACCCATGAAGAGGTCAAGTTTCAACATGAACTAGGTTCAGATGAAACTGGTTACTTATCTGAGCCCAAAGGTTGAAACACAGGATCTGAGACACTCAAGAGTGTGGCCATGTAGAGTCGTAGACTCAATCTGGAAGTCGTCACCTGTGCTCCCTCCTCGAGTTCTCCTCTAGGCTTGCCGCTCTATTGATATCTATTTTGAATAGCTCGAACTCCATTTATTAGTGTTGATAGCATTCCTTTCTTTCATCCATCTCATTATGGCCTCCCAATCTAATCAAGCGTCAGTAGATAATGCTGCAAACGCAACCACTAACACCAATAATACTCGAACCAATGACAACCACAACTCAAAGAAAAGAAAATCAACTAGCGAAGTCTGGGAGCATTTCACTAAGGATGGTAAGAAGGATGATGAAGGTGAAGTGAAAGCGGTCTGCAACTACTGTAAGAGTTCGCTTTCTGGAAAGTCCACTTCTGGTACTGCCCATCTGTGGAAGCACTTGGACCGCTGCAAGACTTATCAAGATTCCAATCGCTCGTCCAAACAATCGTTGCTCTTGGTTAAGAATGGAAGCATGGCTCAAAAATCCTGGCAGTACTCCGAAAAAAAAAGCAGAGATTTGCTCATCAAGACAATAGCGGCGCATGATTACCCATTTAGGATGGTTGAGCACAAATATTTCAAGCTTTTTGTTGCGTCGCTGCATCCGCATTTCAAGTTGAAATCTCGCTTCACGGCCAAGGACGATTGCATGGCCCTCTTTCAATCCATGAAAGGCAATCTTCTCAAGGAAATCTTACAAGCTAAGCGCCTTGCTCTGACAACTGATCTCTGGAGCTCTCGAGACGCTACTGGATTTATGGTCATCACCGCGCACTTCATCAATGAAGCTTGGAAGTTGGTCAAACACATCATATCCTTCAAGGAATTGCCTTCGCCTCACACTGGTCCTGCTATTGCCGATCGGCTGGTGCAGAGCTTGGTTGAATGGAAATCTATAACGAAGTGCGCTTTCATTACAGTAGACAACGCTTCGTCAAATAATGTAGCTGTAACTCGATTCAAAATGATAGTCTCCGATCGTAGTTCAAAGGCTTTGGAGGCAGATGGGCAGTTCTTTCATGTTCGCTGTGCTGCCCATATAATTAACTTGATTGTGAAAGATGGACTTGCAGTGATTCTTGATGCTGTCCAAAAGCTTCGTCAATCTGTCAAGTACACCAAAATTAGTCAATCCCGAGTACAACTATTCAAGATGGCAATTGAAACTTCCAGCATCAGCCTCAACTTCCTACCATCGAAGGATGTTGCAACCCGATGGAACTCGACTTTCCTCATGATTAAATCTAGTCTTCCGTTCAGAGAGGCATTTGAAAACCTCGCTTCTACAGATTCCAACTATGAAGATTGTCCAAGTCCTGAAGAATGGTCACAGCTATCTGCCATGAAGGACTTCTTAGAGCTATTCTACAAAAGTAAGTTTTGATTGGCATTAGTTGGTAGATCTCTTTCTTCAGATTTTGACTCATGTCTTCTCAATGATATGTAGCTACCGTTGATTTATCAGCTTCAAGGTATCCAACCTCTCAACTGATATTTAAATCAATGAAGAACATCGAGCGCCACTTAGAGATGGCTCCTCCGCATCCGGATATCCGACCGGATGCGGATATCCCCTCCCTTTTTCAGCGGAGTTGGACATCCGCATCCGCATCCGCATCCGCTGGCGGGTATCCGGCGGCCACAGCGGGTATCCGAGCGGGTATCCACGGATACCCGCCCTTTAAATGGTCGGCGAGGCTCTTGGCTAAGGCTAAGAACCCTCTTGGTCCTAAAGCTTCCAAACAGCTGGAACAAAAATGGATGCAAATCAACTCTTCCTTTTCAGGTTCTGACCCAACTAATGTCGAGAAACAGTAACTGGAAAACACCCAATCAGGACTTCTCATCCATCCAACGCTATCCTTGGATTCGCTATTCAGACGTCATTTGTCTTTCCTCTACATCGATATCTTTTATGCTTGTGAACCTAATATGACCTCTCACTTGTGGTTTTTTTCAAAAAGTAAAAGAATTTTATAACATTTGATTTGAATACAACCCACGGAGTGCTGCAGCTCACATAGCTTATTGAGGTGACTGGCAATAAGAGGTAGCTCTCTTTCACATATTTTCTCCTGCATTTTGAGCTCTAGGATCCAAAAAATCATGCAGCAAAGTTGCTCATGTTTGTTAGTGGGGGATGGTGCAGCCTGGTTTGCTACCAACTGCTCAAATATTATACATAATCCTAACGTTTACAAAGGAAAATCAAGAGCTTGAGTAAAGTCTAGTGACAGCACAGTTTGTCCAATTGGGATCGGCTTGAGCAAAGTCGAAGAATCGATTACATAGTGCTACTGTTTTGAAGCAGACAACTGCTGATCCTATTTTACTGGAGGCACCTGACTCTGATGAGTTCTTTGTAGAGATGACGACCAATTCTATGTCTGAGGTCTTGATGAGATCACAGGAACAGATTCAAGTTGATAGATCTTCGACTGTGTTGAGGTCGGGGAGCTTCTTCCTAGTCCATTTGAATCGCAACGTGCATTCCAGAGTGTTGCAAGTTTCCACGGGAGCAGCGGGTGGGTAGGTTGATTGGACAGGGGATGGTTCAGCAGGTTGAGTAGAAGGTGTGGGGATAGCAGCAGCGAGTTCCGACATCCTTGCCTGGCGTAGCTTTGCACCAGCAGCGTTGATCTCTTCAAGTTTTCTAATCTTCGCGGCTTTTGCCTCTTCACGAGCCTCAAGATCACGCGCCAGTGCCTTCCGCTTGTTATCCAAGCCGGCAAAGCGGGCGGTTCGGGCCGCTTGTGTGGCTCGCTTGGCGTCAAATTCTGTTCGTTTGATGGGGTCTAGGAGGATCTTGAATGCAGTCTGCAAGGCCTGGAATTTCTCTGATGCCAGGGGGTCATCCGGGTTCTGATGGAGGGCGATAATCGTCGAGGTCAATATCACATTCCCATCAAAATCGCGAGGAATAAAGCCACAGCTTTGTTGATCATAGAAACTTACTTACTCGGTCTGGATGCACTTTCAAGGAAGCCTTCCGATAGGCAGAGGTGATCTGGTTCGAGTTGGCAGAGGCTGAGACGCCGACGATAGGGTCCAGCCGGCGAAGTACATGTACCTCGCCGGCTGGAAAGCAATCCTCCGCCCATCACTCTCAGCCTCTTGCCCTCGGGTATCCCTGGGGATACCCGGATATCCACCAGGATTTGGGGGGAAAGGGGCCATCCGCACCCGAATCCGTACCCCCTGGCGGGTATCCGTTGTTGCTGGGGGGTATCCGCCAGCGGATAGCGGGTATCCGCAACGGATACCCCGCGACCATCTCTAGCGCCACTTATTAAAAGGACAAACATCTACAAGTAGTCACATCCAAAAAATTGTTGACCCGATGCTTGCCAAATTTCACAAGTACTGGGTAGAAATGAAGGTCTTTGCCGCCATTGCGCTTGTCTTCGACCCTCGATCAAAGATGCCTTACATTGAATTCAAGCTAGAAGACAACCCCGGTGAAATTGAGAACATTCGAGTTGCTTTGTTCTCATGGTACAACGAGTACATTACTGCTTACGAGAAAGAAAAACCACCACCCCCCGCAAGTGAGAAGGCTACAGACCATGAAATTGTCTGCGTTGAAGACCAGGATACTATCGATTTTGAGCGACACCTTGCCAAAACCAAAGGTATTGGCTCAACAGGGAATCCAACCGGTGAGCTTGATCTTTACCTCAAAGAACTCAATGTCAAAGTTGAAACAGGAGTTCACTTTGACATACTTGAGTGGTGGAAGTTCAACTCGAGGCAGTTCCCCACCCTCAGTCAGTTTGCTCGAACAGTTTTGATGATTCCTGCTACTTCTGTAGCTTCGGAATCCGCCTTCTCAGCTTCTGGCAGGGTGCTTGACGACTTCCGAGCTAGTCTAAATGCGGACACCCTCGAGGCTCTCGTTTGTACACAAGATTGGCTGAACGACGGCGAAGAGGTCTATGAGCAACCCGAATAGCTGGACCTAGTTCTTTTTCTTTGTTTCTTTCTCTCTCAACATTTTTTTCTTTCTTTCTTGCCCAATCCCCATGACATTCTTTGTTTCCTTCTCTCCCCTCCACATTGAATTCACTCATCATTACATTAGCACATACATGATGCAAGGAAGATAAAAAAGCTACCCCCCTCCCCAAAAAGCCCGACCGATCAAAAAACGGTCGGCCCATGGGTTGACCCACAGGTCGCCCCATGCTGACCCACAACCCAATTAGTGGGTCTTATCCTGGGTCGGGGCGGCCTTCGTTGCCACTGCGACCCGACCTGACCTGCCCCATTAATTTACGGGGCAGGTCGGGTTGGCATTTTTTCGCCCCGACCCGACCCATCCTCACCCCTAATCTGAACCCCAATAAGAAAAACTATCTGACCAATGTGCTTTTATTTGCAAGGAGATGCAACAAATTTGGTTTTTGGCCATGCAGCTTTGCAGAATTCTCCATGATACACGCAGTGTGTTGTATCTGTTTCAGTTTTATCTTGATCAGTCTCTTTACTAATACAAACCATGTGCTGTGTAAATCAAAGTTCAAATCATGAACTTGATTGGAAGCTTTCTGCTACATACAATCAACCAAGTATTTTACAGTAACAAGATCAATAGAAGAATCACATAGAACCCAAATTTAAAGTGGATTATGATGAATGAGTGGTGGGGCAAACAAGTTTACACCCACCAAACCCTTGCAGCCTGCTCATGCATGCCAACTCCCCTCTCTTATGTGACTAGGGGTTGATAGTGGATTGGGTCACACTATGGTTGTTTACACAACTTAGTGGAAAAAGGGTTGCCCTATTTGTTGGATAACCAATGTAGTGGAAACAACGATGTAACAGATCCGATCCGATACGGTATCGGCCAATTTATCGGATCGGATCGATTTTTCGTTACCAGGTATCGAAAAAAGGGGTACAGTTGCGCGCGGCATTGTACTGTACAAGATTTTGGGATGTCCGAATGGTCGGGACCCAAAATTTGGAAAAATTTGATTTTTTTTGTTAAGTTTTGGGGTGTTGAGACATCAATCTGACATCCACGCTGCTGTAATCGAGCCAGCGGATGCACTTTTGAGCATATACATTGGCTTTAAGCTTATGTGTATGGGCTTAGGCTGACATATAGCCATACAAGTATGGGTTTATGGTGTCAGCCTATTGCATATTTATGTACTTAGGCCCCCATATTTGGCCTGTGACCGAATGGTCCGGTGAAAAAAAAAATTTTTTTTTGTTTGGCTGGACCAAATTGGTTGCCGATTTAGATTTGGAATCTACACACCTTGTAGACTCCAAAAATGTGTTCTTTACAGGTGCTGGACCCCCGTCGGGGGTGAGGATCAACCCCGCGCGACCTAATCAGCATTTGCGGGTGGCCTTGTACAGTAGAATGCCGCGCGCCACTGTATTGGATCGCCCACCCGATCCGATACCCAGAGTATCGGATCGCAGCAGGCAGTATCGCAGGGTTAGGGATCGGTATCGCATTGCGATACTGATCTGATACCGATCCGGTATCTGTGGGATCATTTTAAAAGGCATTTTTTTTGGGTAAAAGAAAAAGTTTGGGCATTTATATATATACATGATTTTTTTTTTTTAATTTTTAACTTTTATGAAAATAAAAATTGGAATGTAAATTTTTGAAGCTAAAAATGGAGAGCCTGAGATTTTTTTTTCATCGCTATTTATAATTTTAATACTTAATGTAAAGAAATATACAACTTTTTTTCTTCAAGGGATTTTTTTCAAGTGGAGTGAAATGAAATTTGGGAGAATGAGTGGGGGTTGGTAGAGCCTAGAGAGTAGAGGCTGTGAATATAGGTGAAAAAAAAAATGGATATAGTGAAATTAACCTTTGACACCGGAGGTCGAAGCAACAGGTTTTTTTGTTGTCTTGGCTGCTTCCAATTCTGCCTGAGTAGCAGAGATTATGTCCTGGGCCGCCTGGAATGGGCCATCAGGCTTTACCCCTTGAGTGATCCATTGGTGGGAACTTACACATCTTTCAATTGTTTTGGCAGCTAAGTTGCCTCGATCTTGCCCGCAATAAGCTCTTCAGTATACTTGGAGTATTAGAAGGGCTGCTCCTTATAACTATAAGGGACAACAGCGGAATAGCTTTGCTGCGCCAGGCCTTTATGAAGAGAAAGAAGGGTTCTACTAGTCTTCTAGAGTTACTAAGATTGACTTTTACAGACTAGTACAAACTAATTGAAATAAAGGTTTTATGTAATGTATTTTTAGTCTAGAGTATTAAACCCCACTCACTTATTGTACTTTCTGTAAATAGGTAAGGCTAACGGGTTTGTATGGTAATCTCTGAGGAAGGAATCTTAGTGAATGAACCTCTTCCTTAAGTATTACAGAACAGTGGTCAGACTGCTTGTGGGAGCGGTACAGTCTCCATATTATTACATTATTTCTTTGGGGAGAAATGTGAAGATATTCTAAGAATAATAAAAGTACATGTGAGGAAAATCTATCTTATTTCATAAAATACACAAAAAGAGAGATAAACAGGACTTTCATTATTTACAAGAGAGATACACTTGGATAATCATAAGAGATAGTTATCCTTTTCAACTTGAGTATAACTTTCATGGAAGAGGTAAATTAATCAAGAGGTAAATCTTTATTAATTTACAGAATATTTATTAACATAAATAATACATATAATAATAAATAACATTACAGAATACTTATTAACTTAAAGATTACAATATATAACAATATTTATTATGTAACCCAAGGGGGTTACATTCTCTTGTAGACACCTGGGCTAGTGTCCCAGTGTCTGACACTGCAGGACAAGCATTTCAGAAGTCCCTCCCAGTGGGAAGGGGTGCTTCTTGCCCAGCCAGTTACACCAGCAACCCTCCAGACTTGTGTTAAGCTGCTCGTTTTGATACATCCACACAAGACCAATAAAGCAGTTATAATATTGATGTTTCCAAAGATGAATTTTGTTCAGATTTGGTGTTCAGATTTGTGAATGAACTTACTTGAGGAGGGTCCATTGAAGCCATTCATCTAACATCAGCCAGACAAAATCCAACACATTCATGGGTGATGTACTGTGAAAAACGCTCAAGGAACTGGTGCCAGTTGACATGCAGAAACTCTCTTGAAAGTTGAGTTGTTACTCAGATATTACTCAACCATTACCACAGCCATACTTCAATTTCAGCACAGTCCACCTTGCACAGTTCCTGTGCAGAAATTCTTACATTGGAATAAATTACAGTATGGCAGAAGTTTTGTTGGGAGCAACCTGCATGTCAACTGCCACCAATTTGGTGAAGTTTTTTTCCATGGTGATGAGCAAACAGTTTGGGCTCTTGGTTGGGTGGTTGCCTTATGGTACTATCATTTGTGGCTCAGGAAGGTAGCTTGGTATGGCTCAGGAAGGTAGCTTGTTATGACTCAGTAAGAAATCATCGACAGAGAGGGGAGAACAACAGAGTTGACACGGATTGAAGGGACATCGACAAGCACATCATCTCTTACTACAACGACGGACTTCGTTAGGGTTTTTGCCGAAGCCGATGAGCGGCAAGCCGTCCTTACCATAGCGAACGCTATGGTTGTGATGGTTGCCACGCCCGGACGATTTCCTGCCCTTCTCGCCCAACAACATGGCAGGCTCCCAATCCGGATCATTCCAGCCGCTGAGCGAGGTGAGCGCATGAGAATGGGAACCCTCGATGTTCTTCAGCTTCCGCTCCTCCTTCTCCTTCTGGATCTTCACCGATTTCAGGCCCCGTTGGAACTCCTTTTGGTCTTCTCTGAGGACCAGATGGGCTCCGTTGATCGACTTCTTCTGCTTGGCTCCGCCCTTCTCAAACGACGAGCTGCCTGGTTTGGCGGATGGAATCGAGTATACAGTTCCCCGGTTTCGATACTGAAAGTTCGGATTTAAATGTAAGATGTATCCAGTCGGCGACGAAGGTGTGTAAGTGATCGAGACTCGGGTGAGCGTTGCACCTCCACATGTTGGACAGAATTTCCGGGTAGGGTCTTTACATAGTCTATCCGCAGATTAGATTAACAGGTTAATATTTATGCGATCTGGGCGAGTAAACCAATCGAGTATGTATAGAGGTAGTTTACTCACTTGAAGCAGCCGTAGCAACGAAGAACCCAGGTCTTGACGTCTCTAATTCGTTTTCCGCCCACCCCAAGGACATTGAGACCAATTTGCAAAGCCACGTTCTGCATCGCATAGTCGCCCGTCAAGACAGCCGCCTTCATAGTGGGAGGTTTTGATGAGCCCTCGCCAACGGTGCTATTGGTGATCGGCGTGTTGATGTCTGAGTGCTGGTCATTATTGTGTTGATGTTCCTGGTCAGCCAAACTGGCAGAGTGTTGTTGGATAGTCTCGAGTTTCGGAGCGACAGGCTTGTTCCCCAAGGATGGGAAAAACCCCATGTCTTTGGCTTGATGGATGTGCACATTTTCCGGCGTGATCCAACTGGGATCAGAGGCTGAGACGAAGGATGAGATGTCTGACTCTTCTTCGGATGCTTTGGCGCCGATTTTGATGGGCACCTTGACCCAGTCTATGTCGCTGGCCGTCTCAACAGAATCCGCACGGGTGATTTCAGAGTGCGACGTTACTGGGTGGTTGGGTGCTTCTCGTCGCTCGTCGGACTCTTCCTCAGCACCGGACACAGATGATTCAGGGTGATTGACGGCAGTTTCCAAAGTGAGCTGATCGATGTGCTCGACTAGCTGCTCGACATCTTCTGCACCAGCTTGACTGGATGTTGAGTCAACTTCGGCAGATGTCGGTTTCGGAGGGTCTCCGTTGCACAAGACAGGGTGATCGGTCGGCGAGTTAGATTCCTCTGCTGGTTTTTCTCCGCTCGATTGATCTTGTTGTTGTTGCTGCTGCTGCTGCAGTTTACGAAGCTGTCGTGCCTTCTTCTTTTCGGGATCTTTTCCCATTCGTTTCGCACCCAGTGTATCTCTCAATCTCCAAGTCCCATTTGCTTCGACCTCGACATCGTACGCCAATGCTAGCACTCGGATATCCGCCGAGGAGAGGACCGCAATGTCACCTGTCTTGGTCGCGAATTCCTTGACTGATCGAGAAAGTCAGTTCAGACTCCTCAAAAGAAATGACGGTCTGAATATACATAAAAAACAATGAAAGAGGAACAGTTGAAAAAAGCTTACTCTTAGAAATCCCCGCTGTAGATGGCTCCCTGATTTGGAGACCGGTCCATTCGTCGCCTGTTTGGGCAGCAGAGTTATTGAGAGTCGCATCCAGTATCTTCCACTCTTGTTCCAGTCTTTCTCTCTGCCCCTTCCCACGAACTTCCTCGATCACATCTTGAGTGGTTACAAATCGATTCGAGAAGAGTAGCAGGGAGGATAAGCTTGAAGTCAGCAGAGGTGCGGTATCGAGGACGAGGGTCTGAGTTCGGTCTTGACTAGGCATGGGAAGCGAGGGAGACTGATGGTGCCTGGTAAGCTGGTTCTTGAGATGAGCTGTCGAAGCTGGACTTTAAGTAGGGGCCAGTTGACTATGAGTAGGACGATGGAAGCTCTGGATGGCAAACAGGTCAACTTCAACTCTGCAGCCCACAAAACTTTTCCAGGGGGTTGAGCCAGGCCGAGCGAGCCAAGTGGGGACGTCGGGCAGACTGGCAGTGCTCATATTCATTTGGCTCTCCTCACCCATTTTGGTTATGCATATCAACTATGTAATCAAAAATACATGCCGCCAAACAACAAAGTCAAGTCAAGTGCAAAATGTATCATTTGGCGCCGGAGATTCATCATCAAATTCCGGAAAAATTCACATCAAAGCACATTGATAACTTATAGAAGTTGTGCTGGGACTGCAATTAGAACTTGTTGCCTGAAAAAATGAAAAAGGTGGGACTATGTAGAGTGTGGCCAGACCTGAATGAAAGAAGAACAATGACTAGAGAGGGAAAAAAAGAGAAAGTTTCACCAGACTCGGATTATGCTGGCTCGTGGTTTGCCGTACACGCTGTGAATTGGACGACAAAAGGCGGCGAAGGATGTGATTTCATTGTTGGGCTCGAGCGTTTCACATATCGCGCTTGCTTCATCAAGTGCAAGTTAATACCGTCAAGTTCATGGAATAGCCGGATTTGACCAACTCCGGGTCTGACTTTGTGAACCTCGTAGATTCACTCATCTCTGCCACTGCTTCATGAGAATGAGCGTCTTCGCGGTTTGCTATTTTTTTCACTTCCTCCAACACGTCCCTCTTGAATTTTTCCTGCGTTCGTGCGGTCCTATCAAGTGATCCTCAGCTTGCCACCTCGATATAATCATTCCACTCCTTCAACCTTTCTTCCTTATTCATACGACCATCCTGACGGTTGAAAAATTTGACGACAGCTCGGAAAATAGCAGCAACAGGAATGGTATAGTGCGTGTCACTGTTGATAAGATTGGGTGCTAGCATATAATCAGCAAGCGCGGATCTAGGCGGGTAGCCGTTTGAATCCGAGGGACCAAGGCAGATGAAAATGACGCAAATGTGCTGCGACATCTCCATGAGCAACCGAGTTTTTCCAGCCATTGAATGGCCAATCAGTGTGGCGTATGGGGCGAGATAGGTGATTGTTTTCCACTGCTTGGAATATTCATCAAAGGTTCGTAAGGCTGAGCTGAAGATTATGTCACGTCTCAAGAAAGAGGAGTCGTAACCTTTATTTATGACTTGGTCAGAAACTTGTCGGACGGCTTCAGCTAAGATCGCGCAGCCTTCCTGGTCGGATTTGGCCTCAAGAGTCCGAAGCAATGCCGCCCTAGTTTTTCCAGGTTGATCATGAAACTGGGGGTATTTCCGCAAGATGATGATTTTGAGGGCGTCGTCCTTTTGGGTCTCATTGGGTATAGAGAGTTGTTTGGTCAGTTTTTCACATTCTCGTTAAACGAAGGCCATCTACGATCACGCCTGCTGGAGAGAAGTCATTTTTGCAAAGCTTTGAAGAACTCCTCGAGAAGGTCAAGATACTGAATGACCAGATGCTCTTCAAAGTCGATCAGACTTTAAAGGAAGATCAGTCAACCCGGATGACTAGATATGTGCTGGCTAGTGATTGACAAACCTTTCGCATCCTCTAAGAATGATGTGAAGGAGTCATCAATTTCGGGGTCGGTGAGAGCAGCATGTAGGTTTTTGAAGCGCCAGAGTAAATCGTTGATTCGGTTCCCTTCAGGCTCATCCTCAAGATTGGCATAGTTACGTTTGTGAGCTTGTGACTGTGGTGATTCCATTGAAATGCCGGTTCTGTGCGAGAACTGTTGAATGACAGGATAGCACAAGCCAGACGTTGACCGAGTTAAAGCGTTAGTCAGTTATCTCCCCAAGAATTGATGAGATCGGTGCCGACCCAGCCGGCGAATCTGGCAACACAAAGTGATGAGCCAGTGCATAATCATAACGTAAATCATTATTACTGAGCAATGAAATATCTGTTGCTGTTGCTTGCCATCAAATGTACGGATTGCCCTCGGACATCCAATCTACCCATCGTAAATCCTTCATGTCAGTTTCAAATCCCTAAAACGGCACAAGGGTGCACGTGGTACAAGGGGCTATGTAACGGCTGGAGATTTATGCCCATCTCACTTCCACCAAGCCAAACCCTCACAAGAGGGATCCCAAGATGTATATATGGACCGCTCTACTATTTTAATGCAATGTATGAAATTTTGAAGGATGATTTATTCTTGGGCATCCTGTGCCTATGGTCAACGGAGAAAAGACCTAAAAAAGACCATCAAGCGGCTTATACTCTTTTGGCGGGTCTTAATCAAGCCGAACGCTGCTCCCATCCATAAAAACCTATTCGCCATCCTCAAGTCTTCCCGATAGATCCATCCAGCCACTTCTCCAGAAATCATCATCTCCTGAACCCAACTGACTTGGAAGCTACCCATCAAAACCAAGATTCCCCAGATGGCCAACTACCCCTACAACCATCCTGCTTCTCAATGGGGCCCACCTCCCTTCTCCGGCCAGCAAAATCATCAACCACAGTGGGCTCCTCCATCCGGCCCTCCTCCTCAACAGTGGCAACCTCCTCAAGCCCCTCCTCCTGGTAAGCATTGTTCCTCTACATACCTACATTTGGGAAAATAATCAGTAACTTGCTAAGTATATCTCCTTGTTTCCTTTCCGTAACCATTAATCTCGTCCAATGTTCAGGGTTTAAGTACGTCGCCGAAGTTAAGAAGATAAGCACGTCCCAGCGAGTCTCTGATGTTTTGTTTTACTTTTTCTCAGTGGCGGATGGCAACCACCAACAGGCGCCCCGCCCATTACCAACGATCATACAAGACCCTATCCAGGACATTATGGTGCATATTTAAACAACCACAAGGTTCAGAAAATCGGAATATACTTACATTTAAAAAAACTTGTTGCTCATCAGGTCATGGTAATCCGCCGACATCATATCAGCAAGCATACAATCAAGGGCCACCAGGAGCTCACTATCAACCACCACAACCCCAAACCACGCGAGGCGAACCGTATTTTCAGTATTCGAAATGTACCGGTCGTCGTAAAGCGCTATGTATCGGGATTAACTATGTCGGCCAAACTGGCGAATTGAGAGGATGTCACAACGATGCTTTGAATATGCAGAAGTTCTTGATCGGTGCGCGCTCAGCCTTTTCTATCCTCATATCGAAACTTGACCCCAGTAATGCTCATTACTTATCCCTTCGGACTTGCTCAGAGAGGTACAACTACAAGCAAGAGGATATGGTCATCCTCCTCGACACCCCTGGCGCCAACCCGAGACAGATCCCAACTCGGGCAAACATAATATCTGCCATGCAGTGGCTCGTCTCCAATGCTCAACCTAACGACTCTCTCTTCTGTACGCAGTCAACATA